CAGCTTTAGAAAACGGTTCCAGGCATTACCAAAAGAATCAAACACGTCATACTGATTGTAGGAGGGAAATTAAGCAATGTTATTACTTGCTTGCCGATTCGCAAACCTTGCACGAGGTGTACAACTCCCCAGGAAGAGAAGAAATTAAATATATATTACTTGTTGGAGTAAAATATTGTCGTACATTATCGATATATTTTTGCAATAATAAAGATTCTTTTGTCTGCCGTTTGCTGTTAATTGACTTTTACGTCTTTGGTAAAGTGGTGAGGGAATTGTACATTCAAAGGTAGAATGAGACCCAAACAGTATTAAAGTCTTACAATTCGCGTTATAACTTTGCTCACTAACATATTTATTAAGTATGGGAATTGTTGCAATTACGTATGCAGAACGGGGAAACTTATACGATTCTTTGTTATGACCCGGACTAGATTATATAACTGCAAATGTCTTGTGATATGTCTGACAAAGATCTTTCTATGTAGTGTGCGTCATATGCGTGGGAAGTTAGGACGTAGGTTAAAAACAAATTACGTGGTATCTTTTAGGCATATACGTCATAATTATTATTTGTCTTCCTTGTTCGTGGTTGGTTGTTATGAAAACAACAAAGATAAACGTCTAGTGTATATAGCATTTGATAAAACACCAAATGTTTGTATGTTAAGTTTAGACTTATAGGACGACTTGGAATGTGAAGTCGCTTTGTTCAAATTCGCTTAAACATGAATCGTTGACGGTGCGCGTTATGCATAAACTTAGAACGAGCATGCAGCGTTATTGGCGTGATCGAACATATCACGCGTCTATTCATCGATTTATATTCCAAGTAATAACAATATACTATGTAATTGAACGGCGTTTTTGCCTCACTTTTCAGCTCTTTTCCATGACATTATCATAATAGAAATCCCACACTATGTCTTTTTTTACATTTGCTAACGTCCCATATTCTCGACCCTGCAATGCACTCTTATCATATATCATTCCCCTGTGAATATTATTTGCTCAAGTGATTAAGTTACATATACACATTTTTCCAATCGACTCGTTTCCGGGTGTTCAGTCATATAATATTACTGAAAGTATAATGCAGTGTAATGAACCACAAAACGACATGTTTTAAATTTCTCTGTCAGTACTTTTAATTTAAGTCAAGTGAACATATCGCAAACACGTCACATAAATTAAATGTAAATACTTTGATGAGCTCTGAATCATGATTGAGTGCGTGAATGAAATGCAATACATGTAAATAACACTGCGTAAAGACTTTTCGTTTTCGACATTGTTAAATTCTTTCGTTTTTATACAGAAAAATACAGTATTTTTACCAAGTATAATCATAATTATTAAAGTTATTGTTCATACATGAGTTGTTGAACATACTACATAGTTTGTATTTTCAACCATGACAATTATTTATAGGAGTATGGGAAATACTTGTTGTTATGAATTATTTTTAACAAAAAATCTTGTCAAAATCATCAAAACACGAAATAATTTCACAATGTCGAAAACGAAAAGTCTTTGTCGTAGTGTTAAATGTTTTAGTTAAGTACAATAAATGAAACGGGCGCCTCGATTTTTTTTTAATTCTATTCCGTCTTTGTTCACAGCATTCACCGTAACTTAACTTTTACATGAAGTACGCCTATGGTCACATATTCCGATAAACCAGCTTTCCAGTAATGCATACATTATTTTATTTAATATATATAATGTCAAAAGTATTATGCGAGTATTTCTCCTGTCGCTCTCATAGAAGCACAGGACCTCCGGTGTGTGTAATACAAAACATATATCGTACTCAATACGCTCTGTCACAAAGGCCTCCCAAAGGCCACTGTGTCTACTTATACACGACGAAGCCAAGGACTGGCGTTCCCAAATGTCTATATATATTATATTACCAATTACTTCACGTCCAACTAATTCATTTAATTGAAGGTGTCACGAGTATGCCGACCTGTCAATCTGTCTGTTAATAGAACAACCGGCACGGGAATACACATGTTGCTTCACGCACGCGCATTCGCTTAGAAGATAACCGTTAAGAAGGCGTATTTATTGCGGTATACGGCGGGTACATGTAGTTATGAAGTTATATATATATATTATTTCGTGTCAGTTTGATATAAAGACTATATATTATATACAATTGAATTAAGAGATAAATCCTTTGTAACAATCTCCATGAAGCCACACTTTGATATTATTCTAGTTTAATTGTTAAATGTTACTTTCGTGTCTGGGCATTATACTTATAGTAACGCATGTATAGCCTTTGTTATAATTGTATGCCAAGACACGTATAGTATTCCATGTGTAAACAAAACGTACATTTATAAGGACTTTGCTTTAAATTAAAATTTGCACTACTGCTATGCTTATATTGGCACTGGTTCTGAAAAAACAGAAACGCACACTTAATGTTGAGTGGTTGTAAAGAGGACAATCTAGAATAAAAACGCATACCAACAGGCTGAATGTGAAACGTAAAAAGATTATAAGTTGAATATCATTGATGCCTCTTCTGAATTGTAAGCATAATTAATAACAATATTCCACTCTGGGGACAGGGTATTGTGTTGTGATGGTATGGTTATTTATTGCGCCACCCTGCATCCAGCAGGTCTAGTCGAACACAAGCGGAGTCCGGAATTCCCCTAAAGTCGTCTCCCCATTGTGTATGTTTCACACATTGGCTTTGCACAAGCTATATTTCCCAAAGACAAGTTGTTGCGATATATACCTTTCACTTACCAAAGTGACGTTTAATTACATGGAAATGTTATTAGCTTAACGCAACCTCTTTTTGAAATTATCAGATATTTCTTCTGAAATGTAATGATTGAATGGCGTCAGACGATGCTTCAAAACTACTGATTAGGTATTTTTCTGTGCTACGGCAAATTCGTAATAGGTAATTAACGAGGTCGTTTTTTTTCGGAATTTGCCTTGCAGTATTAAGCGAGTATAAAACGTGACATACATTTACATTTAGTATAAGTCGGCGAAAACATAAAGTTCAAGACTTCATTTTGCACCTTGCATTGCAATTTTGATGTTTCCTGGAATTTATGAGTCTTCCTATATGTCTTTGAGATGTTGATAAATCATTAATTTGGCAAACCAATACAATTTATATTTAGAGGTTTCAAAAGGTTTTTCACCCTTTATATATTGAATATTTCCAAATAACTAATACAAGAATAATAGTGTTGTACGAAATTCCCGCTATAACGTATGTATATTATGGAGTCACATTGACCAAAGTGTCAAATGCTCAGATAATATATTGCTGACGAATTTGAATTTATATTGTAACATAAAATATGCAGTTACGCATCTCATCACACATATATCGTTTGCTGAAACAGAAAAATATAGTTACAAAATGCACTAACGTTTGCTTGTCATATTAAGGCTTCAGTTGCACTTGGTCACAGGTCAAACCCAGTATTATTAATTTATTATGATCAATTGGAATAGTGTTGTGTCCGTTTTAAACACTCCCCGTGGGGTGCTAAGCATCAATCAGCACAGCTTGTAATGACTGGTTTCCCCCCAAGGATGCTTGTTTTAATGTTCTTATTTTCGAGATGGTAAATACACAAGTAGTGGGTGCAATACTAGAGACCAACACTATTTGTATAGCGTATAAAACATCATTAGTCGCATGTCGTTCAATAAATTTGATGCGCGCGTTGTGCTTGCTGGGAGTAATTATTCCGTGAAATTCACATTACCAGTCTAGTGTAATACTGAGCCATTTAATTGAATGGTTAACCCTAATAAGCTGTCAAGGTCGTTATGCATAATTTGTCACCAATATATATATATATATAATAGTGTATATATATATAGCTTGAAAAAACTTCTTTCTACTTATTCAAACGATGACCAGTTTATTTTATGGACACTCTAGCATAGCGGTTGGGACTCAAAGACAAAGACTGTAAATTCATTATTCACTGGATTTTAATTTTGCTGATTACTCATTAAAATCCGTGTGGACGTGTCAAATTTTAATAGAACTCACCGTTTCACTGGTATATCAGGAAATTTAAATTCCAATAAATATGTTCAATATACGCTCAATTATATACGCTAGTATCAGTGAAATGAATGCTTTGTTGCAGTATGCATGTGTTTATTCAGCAGAGAAAGAATTATAGCACTCATGGTCGTGTGACCTGTTGATTTCTTTTTTTAAATATTTTTTTTCTCATGCAGAATGTAAATCGATCACACTTATGCAGAATGTAATTTCTATAGTTGTATACACATGCTAAGTGAAATTGCTACAGATGAATGTGCATAAACTGTAAACCGCTATTGTTAATCAGACCTTGCAGCTTGGCTAAGACGTCTGGAGACGTCTCGCTCTGTTCGGAGCAATTGACACAAATACAATTGGCCTAACACAGTCGATAAAGATTCTGTCTGATGTGATTGCCAACCTTTCTCAACTGTTTTAATAATTGAGGAAGATCTCTATCTCTCCAGGTCTGATTTAAAATAGCGGTTTACACATTCTGTACAGTTTAATATGTAACTAATACAATGATGATTTACAAATTATGTAAAGTTATCATCGCCGCGTTTACACTCTGCATATGAATACGATCTTTGCAGTTTACAATCTGTATAAAAACAATGAAACGTGTGGATTTACGTGAATAAACGTATGACCAGATGAATGGGTCACATGACCAAATTTGGGCTAAGCAATGCCCTCCCCCAATGGTTGCTTATACCGCGGATAAACCAAAGTATTTTTAAATGTCAAAATATCCCATAGTTCGAGGTCAAACTCGATATTAGTGACATTTTTAAATATAATTAATGTAATGAAGCAGATCCGTTTTTGTTTGAGATTATACATATATCTAGGAATGGCTCGTGAATACACTTTATCCCGTTATTTCATACTAACGATCACTCTTTTATTTGGAATATTTTAGTAGAATTCTTATTTTCATCTATTTCAGGCAGCCCCGATAGAAGCCGCCGTGGACGACAGCCAACTGAAACACATCAGAACCGCCAGATCACTTACCGGAAATGACGACATGTACAAGTGGGACGAGTTGGGAGAATACGATGTTGACTACCCAGAACTTCAGGATGACGTGTATGATGAAGACACGACTTACGAAATTGACAACACGGCTTACGGAAATGAAATAGATTACGAAAATCCCCGGACATTCGCAGAAAACGTTCTGCTACAGAATTTGTACCGTTACATTGCCTTGAATATATTGCCGAAGCTGGCGAATCCGGAGAAAAGGGGGCCGAATACCGGAATGCGAAACAGCCGACCATCGCAACGGAATCCGGGAAGAGGATTCAGACCTTACAACAAATGCAAACGTGGGCGAATGGGAGGCTTGGGAAAAGGAATGTACGGATGTTGAAACAAAGTTTAAAATAACAAACGAAATCGCGAATTAGGTGTTTTTTTATGAACTCGTGGCATTATATCAACCTGGTATACAATACATCTTGAGTAGCTCAAAATGTACTGTGTACCAACACGACTACCAAACATTGCAATAAACAATATTCAGAAATACGTCATTGATTTGTTCAGACGCCACAAGGAAATTATACCCTTTTGGGGGCGCTGTAACTCTTTTTAGCAAGCAGCACCGGATTACGAAACATTTGTTAGAGAATAGTACTGACAACAATTATAGTAATATCAAGAGTAATTAGTTTTGCCTGAGTGTAAAGAGATTGTCATATTGTATGTAGTAATACTAATTACAGCACGTGATTAAACGCTCTTATGAAACCACTTACTAGTAATGTGTTTTAGAGACACAATTATCGCAAGTGGCTTCTAACAGGAAATTATACGCAGTGGTAAAGGGTGGAATATAGACATGAAGTGAATTAAAAAGTGATTTACATTGATGTCTCGTATTGGCGGATAATCCTAACATACTTCTGTATGAACGTGTTTTGTTCGACACCATATTAATAGACATATCGGTTTTACAAATCTTTTTCTTGTCACGTGATTTTATTGTATATTTTGCTGCTTCTGTCCTGTTTATTATCTTTGTCCCAACATTATTACGTTTGGTTAGCATACTGAGATGTTGAGTTTACAATGTTCACTAAATTTTAAAATATTGGAAAGATTTTCCAAACTCATTGGATAATTATTTTATGTTATTTCTTGTCAAAATAAATTAATATTGCTTGATCATCACAGGTCAATAAAGAAATAAATGAGTTAGTATATGAATGAACGAATGAACGAATATATGAATGAATGAATGAATGAACCGACATTTCCGCATTTAACTCATAAACAGTTAAAAAATACGATATCATCATGGTGAAGACCAAGTTGACCAGGGAATCTCGGCTCATATCTAGTTATACATACACGCTGTAAGCCGTTTAATTCTCACTGCTTGTGCGTAATTTGTGACGACACAATTTCGAGTAAGTCACTGAGACTCCATGGTTTAGGACCCCAGAAATATTTTCACTGCAACAAATTGCCGCGATTTTCACTGACTCCTGTCAGATCCAAAGAATCTTACCTGCGTCGGATGAAATGCTACATTGAAAGATGTGACCTCTAATTCCGAATTCTTACAGTATTTATAGGGTAGGTAACGTGACCTGGTATGTCATATGACTTGAACTACTTTGAAATAGCCAAGTGCCATTTGACTCAATGCATGAATTGTCGGAATCTTAATTGAGCTGAAGTGCCAACAACCCCATTGTGAGAATATTCTTTTTTTTTTAAATTAGCGACATCTTGAATTAGCGAAATTAGCTATAATAGCATGGTAGTATGTTTTACAGGAAACGAATTCATTGTTTGAACGGCTGGATGACGTCATAATTCTGTTATCACTGCTTGACTGTCATATGTGCAAGACTATTGTTTCAGAACCTAGGGGGTCTCACTAAAAACCTTAACATTGGTGGCTGGGAAATTCGAAAGTCGCACCAGCTGAGTCGCACATAGTAACAATACGGGCGAGGACCCTTTGTCACACGCCTAGGGCGTCTGGTATATAGTCCACACTATGGACAACATAATTCTTTTATTCCTTTGTACGAAAACGTATCCATAGATGAATGCATCGGAATCAACTAATTAAATCTTAACGTTCCAGGAGAGTACATCGTAATATATATACGTGTCTGCATGTCTTTGTCACATTGGCTCCACTCATTTCATGCTCACTCATTGAAGAAAACGTATACGGGAATCTGTCTTGGGTGTGCAGGAGATATACGCGCCAGAATATTGCAATGAGACTACACGTTAAATTTGCTGACTTTTCGTGATATTTTGAGTCAACTGGGCGGGAAAATGTTGTCAGACGAAAGTCGTCTGCGTGTATGATTGAATTCTGAATGCATAGTTGAAATGATGTTTGAATAATTGTATATCCACTACACTTCTTAATCAATGAAACACTATACGCATGGTGACTTTCCCATGGTGCACCTCACTTCCTGTGCCCACAACGTTCTGTTGTGACAGACACCATTACATGAATTTGCCATTTTGAGGACAGCGTCGCGTTCAGCCCAAACTGTTTTATCGTAAATAATTCTGGGTATTTTCGGGACAAACTTTGATTTTTCCCAAAAATAATACTCATATTTCTTCACGCCAAATAGTTTGGCTAGACGTATTAAACGCTCTTCTCCAAACAAAAATCATATTCAGACGAGGTAAGTGTTATTGCAAATCGTGTTGGGCAAACATATGCCGAGGTACCACGACATAATATTTGGGTTCGCAACTCCCAGAAGAGGGCGCTATATATGCTATATACTTAGTATGTCAATATACATGTGTTATCCTCGGGGGCGGAGCTACGTCACAGACGTTCCACGTTGCTAAGACGCGCACCACTGTACCATGCATTTCTATGGGCTCTGTGCGCGCTGCTGTGGAACGCCGGTCGAGCCGGTGAAAATTCGAGCAAAACAACACAAACTCAACTTTAAAGTAATCGCGAACAACCAAATTTATATATGTTACCACATTCCCTCTATAACTGTGATGTTACACACGTAGGGCTAATTTTGTTGCACTGTTCAGAGGAGTCATCACAAAGTACCGTTTTACGCGAGTTTTGGGCCTTTGTTTTCACCGCCGCGGGTTGCCAGGCGGTGAAAATGCCCGGATGTCCGCCCCCGAGGATACAACTGATTACAGTCGCTGTGAGCATAGTAGACCTTAGAAAGCGGGCACATGCAACTGTGGAAATTCCGTTCCTTCGTTATAATATCCCACCCAAGTAACTCCTTAGACTGATATCAAAGCAATTGCCACGCCAATTTTCCATTCTATCCTGTTCCATTCTGTATGTTTCACGAAACGGGTCGACTTCAACCAGAATATTTACATTTATGGAAACTGAATATGTAATACTGTTTTATGGATACGCGTGAAATTAACACATTGTGATAGTAACAGATTGTTATTTCAATATGAAAACAAAATCAAGGGTAAAATAAGGGTCATTTTTCGTTGTTTGATTAATTTTATTGTATTTGATCACAGTCCCTCTATCCCTGTGATTTGATGCTTGCAGAGTTTTCGAGCCCATGACCTGACCTAGGTGAACTAGTGGGCCCTGGCGACTACCTAGCTTAGTGATAAAAGACCCATAGTCTCTGCGAAGGAGAATGTTATCCATTAGCATTATCTATGAAAACTCACTGTTTTTTTCTATTATATGAAGTTTACGAGAAATTAACAAACTACACAAAATGCTTGGCCATGTATTTGGTCTAATGTACTACTAACTACGTTACGACGACCGAGATATAAAATAATATATAAAAGAAAATTAATAACGGCAAGTAAAACCAAAAAATACCATAAATAAACAAAAAATAACAATAAACACAATATATAAATTAAAAAAAATAGAGCCTATATCTTCATTGGATTATAATCAGATTGTATAAACGACTGAAAGGTAAATAGCACCATCATATGTGTCTGTGCATGGTCCGAGCAAGTTGTGTCTGGTGGAGCTCTATTTTACGACACAAAATCTAATACTTGTATTCACGTTTAAACGAAAGACATTCCGGGATCGTACTTTGCCACACGAGGCGCTATAGCAGCCAGTAATTCAAACATGGCTGCTTCCATGGACAATTTGTTGGGTAGTGAAGAAATCGCAAAATTTGACAAAGCAAGGAAATTATCGGAGGAGGTAAGTCCGATTGCATGTACTTAACATAATCATTTCACAATGTACGCTATTGTTTGAGTGACAACGTTTGCAATACATTTCAAAATAACGAAATAAGCATTTGTCACTTTCGGAACATGTCCGTGATTCCAAGTCTAGACACTTTCACCATGGAGGTATTTTACCCTCGGAATTTTACCACCATGCCTTTACACTGTCTTCAGTGTGCGATGGAGCACGGTTTAATAGATATACGGATTTTTTTTTCTTATCGATTACAGGTAAAAAAAAATTCCAGGATTTGTTGTGTTCAAATTATTCCCTAGGGTTTCTAAAACTCCTATTACTCCATGGCTACGGTTTGGAATATATTTTTTTTTTGTAAATATTTTGTTCACATACACGTGTATCTACGCACCATTTTATACATGTAGATTGACCCAGAGACTCAGCCTTACAAATCAAAATATGAAGCCAGGGAAATTCTACTCGACTTGAAGTCAACAGTACAGGCTTTATTGAATGAAAATGAAGAAATTGATGGTGAGTTCTCAGTTTGAGAGAGGATACTTAATTAGGTATGATCTGCTTGTGTGTGTGCTTTTTTTAAGCTGGGAAGTAAAGGCCACTGTTTTGTGTTATAACCCTCTCTTCCCAGATAAAATTGTTCCACAACCACAATCTTATCTAGAATTCGTGTTGAAATAACATATTATCTAAGGATTGTCATAGGAAAAGAGTTCCCCTCACCGCTAACCTGAACCCTAACCCTAATACTCCAGCCATCCCATGTACATGTTATTCAATATGCCCCTCCAAATAATTATAAGTGACCCAAAGAGGGGTATATACAATTGAATTGGATGAGGGGTACTGGAGGGGCAGGAATAGGATTAGAGTTATGGGTGAGGGGGTCTTAAGCAACTCTTACCAATGGCTGCCTCTACAGTTAATAATTTAGTTAGAGTTAGAGTCACTAGCAGGTATAACTATTATAGCAAATAAACACTACTATAGGGATTGAACTTCAAAGTCAAAAGAACACCAGATTGTCAAGGCAAATATTGAGAAATTTTTATCGTTGTATCAGAATAGAAGAAAAATCTGTATTTTGTGAAGGATGCTAATGCAAACTTCTTGAGCATTTAGGAAATTGCCTTTGATGTCTTAGTGAAGTTCAAGCGACTAGACCAGATTATTAATTTAACTGTTGGCACTGTCACTGAATAAATACATCTCTAATTTATTCTCTAGAGGGCACCCTGCCAGTTCCGAGTAGAACACAGTTCTGATTAATAACTGAGTGTATTTCCATATTTTGCTATGTGTGGTGCACTTCTGTTTTGTCCGTTTCTCAGCAGAAGGGATTGACACAAAGGATGACGATAAATAAACGATCCCAGTTTTTGCTTTAACTCTTCGCCCTGTTATTTTTTAATAACTAGATGTCAAGTTCATGTTGGCTACTTTAGAATATCAACTTGGTTTGAACTTCATTGAATGCGAAGAGCTGTCATCAGGGGAGGAGCATCTCAACAAATGTCTACTGCTATTAAAGGACAATAAAGCCAATACGAAATGTATCAGTACTGTACTCGCTAGTTTGAATCAGTTGGGTATACTCTGGTCAGCAAGAAGCGAATTCGAAAAAAGTTTCAAATTTTTCCAGGTATGTTTTCTTATAAAAGTATTACTGTTAAATATTTTATTTTAGCTGGAATTAATTTTCGCTGAAAAGACTTTTTGGGTGTTTTGTATGGAATTTATTTTCACTGATTTTTGGTGAGTTGAATGTAAAATATAGGAAAAAAAGGTATATTCGCTAGATTTTATTTTCACTGAATCATTCCTTCAGCAAAAATAACGAAAAATTAATTCCAAGCGAAAATAAAGTATTATACAGTATGCTAAAGTGTGTTTTGTAAAGTATTTATAGCATTGGCCTGTATTGTAAAGACTTTCATTTTTGCTGCTGGGAATTTTCTTGATTTTATGCCATTCATGAAGACAAAATTTTTGGAAAGTCATAGAACCCCTGCGAAATTTTCGCTGCTGTACAAAATTTTATGGTTTCCTCTGACGAATTTGTCTCTCGCAAAATTAAAGTCGTACACCATGCTTTGTGAGGAATATACCCATGGAGTCTTTTTCTGATTTGCAAACTCACTTTCAACTGTGATGGTGCCTCATTTACAAAACGGGCATTTATTTTTAAAATCAACTGCTTTACTGGTTAGTACTGATTCACGTTGTGTTTTTCTTTGTTGACAGAGTGCCGAATCGCTTTACAAGGATTATTGTCATAATAGTGATACTGCTCCTTACAGTTTGAATGAGTGAGTATTCTTAATTATCTGCCATCATATCGCCATTAGTTATTATCATGCAGTATTACATGGGTTTGCACATCTTACCATATTAGGAAATGCAAATTTCCCAATATGGAGCAATTATACTGTATTTCAAGATGGCGGACGTTGTTGAAAAACAAAGTTCACAGCGAAAATGTTACAACACTTTATATCATTTTTCTTAGTTCTGTACATTCTACACTAATCTGTTGGATTGGGAAGAGGTACAATGATACTGCAAAGTATGCAGTCAGACGATATACGATCGCATCTACTGTATATTCACGTGTTGGTTACAACTTCCATTGTATTATCTTTTTTGTACTCGTAATAAATAACCTCATTGCAGATTTTAAAATAATCCATTCAGTTGTTTGAGCAGCATAATTATTCACTTAAAGGGGAGCAGAGGTGTGGCTTTTGACACTCTACATGAAATCTGAGATCTATGAATGAATTCTGTTGATAAAAATAATTTATATGTGCTGCGAAATTCCCTAAATATCGGGTATAAAACGGACTGTGAAGCAGGCGACAACGTCCGCTTTTCCTGGCGTCATTTCGCCTCTAGAGGGCCAGTCAAATGACGTCATCAGTGAACACTGATAATTGAACCCATTCATGCTAGTACGTCAATCCCATAGAAATGCTACTATGAAAGACCTTGTTAACTGACTACTTAAAAGTTGAAACATGGCGAAATGTTGTGCGTATGAATGCCATAACGATCCATGTCAAAAGCCACACCTCTGCTCCCTCTTTTAAAAATGTTGAAGCAAAATTTTAAAGCATTTTTCATAATTTATTTGTTAATTCATCATTGGCTACAGATCTTTATCAAAATTAAAAAAAAAAAATTTAATTTGAAAAAAAAAATTTGAACAAATTATTATTTTGTGAAAGGTGATAAAACTCGAAACAATTTACTTTGTACGTCGTCTTTTAAAAAAAAAAAATTTCTGTGACAAATTTTTTAAATCACTAAAAATTCTTTTCGGTTTACTGAAAATCAACAACATCACTATAAATTGAATTTATAAACTCTAGTGATTTTAAAAATATATATTGCAGAATAGGATACAGCATCAAATTTTTTTACTGCAATTTAATTCTGGTGTCTGTAACCATGCTAAGTTCAACTCAAGCAACAGGATCCTCAACATCATACCATGAAGTTTGTATGAGTGTGTGGACTACTGGTAGTATTAATTGTCAGATTAGCTAAGATAAGTGATCTAATTTAATTTTTTTCTTTTCAGATTATTCCTATCAGATGATGACAGATTATCAGAACATCAGAGACATTTACATATGGAGAAGTTACATACACTAACGCTTTACTACTTGGCTCAGATCTATGGAAAGTTAGATGATAAAGACAAGGTATTTGAACTGGTTCTATCTTATCTTTAAAGCTCTAACCTTCCACATTAGACCATGAAATTTGATCGCTGTCAGATGACATGGTATTTGGCTTCAACAAGTTCTCTCTTTTAATGATCACACGCTTTAGCTAGAAATGTTTAGTACTTTGAGTTGATAAATATTAAAAGAAGCTTTTTGAGATATTGACCATCATTTTTGCCAGGAATGTTTTCTCTCACTGATTGGTCACCGGCAGCTGTATTAATCAGTATAACTTTTCTATACTTGTAATTTTTTTCCTTCTGAAAAGCCAGCAACATTCATCATTGGTGGTGATTGTTTTTAGTGAGAGCTTTGCACAATCATTGCATTAACCTTTATTTTCCATGGCCAAATGTTTCATATCGTTTGGACACGCTGTAACATTGAAGAGCTGGTAAAAACAGCACAACCTCAACTTTGGGACTATCCTGAACAACCAAATTTATATACTACCTTGGTACACATCAAGTAGAGTCTCAACAACTGGCCAAAACTGTTTTTTTATTTCATTGGTGATGACTGCTAGGCGGTAAAAGATGCTTGCATCTGAGAATACGAGAAATACGACCTACTCTGAACACATAAACACCTCTGTTGTTTACATAAGCAAATGTGTTGTATACGATAATTTGCTTCTGGTTGGACATCATACCATGAAATCATACCACTACATAGGACATAGTAAGTTGCAGACTCCATGTAAATTACCTATATATACATCCGGGTACATACGTAACAGTATGTATTAAATAATATTGTTTTATTGTTTCTAGTCAGCAATGTATTGTCATACAACACTTCAAAGACAACTGGAAACCAAACAATATGATGCCATTGATTGGGCTGTTAACTGTGCTACCTTGTCACAGTATTATTTGACTGCCGATAACTTTACACAAGCAAGACATTGTCTGGGTGAGCATTGTTATATACCTAAGTGTCTATTGAACGGACATATTTATGATTATGAAGTCTTGAAAACAGGAAAACTCTAAAAAATATTCTTAACTTTTCAACCTATTTAGTTGGCAGACGAGTTGGTGGTGAAAATATTAATAAATATTCATGGCGAGAGTCACACTCTCAGATATTAGAAATTGTTAAACCTCGCGTAGCTCTGTTCACTGATTTCAGCCAATACCACTCAACTCTTGATTATTATCAATGTTTTTATTTTACTCAGCGAGTGCCAGTCACATTTTCAGTGAAGCGTTAGAAACATACGTACAAAAAGACCCGAGTGAAATATCCGAAAATGAGGAGGATGACCCCGTACAATACCGCAAAGCTGATATTGCACGATGTTGGACAAAGTACTGCATATTGTTACTACAAACTTCAAAGTAAGTACTACTACCAGGGTTCTCCCCAAGGCATTATACCTCATGACCATGACAGCCAATCAGATTCGCGCATTACAGGTAGACATATTTGTACGTCCTTCCACCCAAATTTACCTAATTTATGCTAGTATAATGGAACACAATACAAGGCAACATTCATGAATATCTACTTCAAAATATAATAACATGTATCACAGCCCTTCATTTTTTCAAAGCATAATTTTTTTAGTCCGTGTTTGGACGCAGTTTTAACTCAATGCTTCCAGACCTGTATCTTAAACATGCCTGAACCAATCACAATGAAACTTCACACATACACATACATCATACATAATATTATACATGTACACATCAATTTGTTTCATGATCTGATTCAAGATGGCCGAATGGTGGCCATTTTTGTGCTAAAAAAATCATCAAAATCAAGCATTTATGGATGGATTTTGTTCAAAATTGGTACATACATTGGACATTATGGGACCTTGATGCACATTATTTTATTTTTCAGATTCAATTTTAAATGGCCGACTGGCAGCCATTTTGTTTTAATGAATGCAATTCTAGTGTCATGTCTCTGCCATGCTTTGACTGATTAAGTTCAAATTTTATGTATTTATTATACATCATATTATAGATATAAAGATGTATTTAAAATGGCTGACTGGTGGCCATTTTGTTTTAATTAATCCTGTTCCAGAGCAATATTTCTCAATATGGACAACTATTCGTTTGACGATCAGATACAAGATATCAATCATTTTAAAAAATCATCATAATCAAGCATCATCTTCTAAATTTATACTTCTTACATGTTTAAGTTCCAACTATATTACTATAAACAAAATGATATATCTGATATATCCATGCATGACTTGTTGTTCAAGTTTATATCAGAAATAATCGGCTGCCTTCACAATGTGTATAATGTCTTCCTTCGGCTATTAATGTGCTAGACAATTCTGAAGTTGCATGCATGAGTGTCCGTTTTCTGTCATTAGTCAGGGAGCCATATTTGAAATACAACCTGGCAAATATTGCTACATTTCGGGTTTTAGCAAAAATGTATATTTCAGTAAAGTGTTTGTACTGTGTTTTTCTTAGACATTCCTTCACGTTTTTGCATATTTTCTTTTGTACTTTTTCATAATATTGACAAATGTAAAATTAATGTTCAGCAACTAAAATGGTAACCTTCCCCAAAAGCTTCTGTGACAATGCACAGTCCCTATATGAATAAGATCTTATATTGTGACAGCGCCCTCAATGTCACAGTTGATAACTTTTTGAACTTAGTAAAAAGTATCGAACGCTGTTGTATCTGACTCATTTGTGAAAAATTTAATATTAAAAACCATAAATTTCAAACTTATGTTACAAATTGATGTCTCTGTTTAGGGATAAGTTACAGAGTGAAGAGATTTCCGATGAGGCCACTGAAAGGCGAGAACAACTCTTACAAGAGTGCGAGAGCGATAGACAGAGTGCTTCTGCCACATCCAATGATAACAGAGATGATGGAGCGGGAGAGGAAACAAAGACAAATGAGGCGGAAGGTGCAGCGTGTGAGGAGAAGGAAGATGTGGAGGAAAAAGAGGACAACCATAAAGATGCCGAGAGCGAGAAAGATATGGCCAAGCTGTCGTTGAGGTTTCAGTCTCTGGAATTGACATCGCTTGAAAGCGCAGTCTCAGATAAATTGGTGACATCTTTTGAAGAGGTCAGTTGCATTTCGTGAAGTTAAAAAATTGGTTAATTGTTGCATTTAAACCACAATCAGAAATTTAAAACCAACCTAACAGCACTTTTCTACCACAGAAATGGGATCACTGCGAGGTTACTTGCAAGATTGTATTTAATTGGCTACCCAACACAAACACCTAACATTCTGACCTATCAGAGAGCAGCTTATTTGTTGCCAGGTGTTTTTCACGTATCAAATTCTGTCTAGTACATATGCTTCAACTCAACTCCAAAAATGATGTACAAATAGTGTTTGCTTCTGTAGGCGAGAAGTGTCTTCCTAGTTGGTCAGAAATATATCCTAGAAGCAAAGGAATACTACGTCATAGATGGTCATGTGACGGATAATATTAGTATTGTGCAGGTCAGTATTCCATAGTTTATTTTATATCAGCACTAGTAGCTTCATGATGAGTGGCTTTCGTGATGAGTGGCTTTCGCGGTGAGTCGCTTTCGCGGTGAGTGGCAGAGACTTGTCTTTTCATAGCAACATGGTTTTTAGCAGTGAAATAATAAGTTTAGTTTTTGTTTCACATGTTTACTTGGATTTAATTTGGCAGATTTCTGTTATCAGCAAAATTAAAAACCAGTTTTGCTATAACCTCTTATTAAATGGCAGTAGTTGTTGGGACTGTATGGATGTAAATTATTCACATTCTAAGTAAATAAACAACACATTTCAGACACTAGTGTGCATAGTATGGAATCCACCCCAACATCCGATTTAACAGAAATGTGAAAGGAGAAAGATAAATCGCACATTTTTGCCTGCAAACTTTGACTGAAACATGCTTGTGTTCATTCTTTGCAGGATCACAGCCATTTATTCAAACTTCTTGCATTTTTTGAACCTGACCTTGAGAGGCAATGTAAAATGCACAAACGCAGGCTGGATATGTTGCAAGACGTTCTACAAGATTTAAATTCACAACATTATTTAGCGTACTGCAGGCAGTTGCAGTACGAGATGGCAGAAACTTACAGGTAAACATTGTATGTGTAAGAGAAAAGTGATATGATCACAGTGAGCACCAGTGCTATTGTCTTAGTTGACTTCTATTTTAATAATTAGCTTCAAATATTTGAATTATCATATTTGGATTAAAAATTGAAATGCTACATGGAAATACATGTATTAATGGAAATTCAATCCACAAAGGATCAGCATTTACCTGTAATGAAGGTATTTGCGGGAAAAAAAGACTGAATTTTCGAAAACACCTCTTGGTGACATGACGCTATTCTGTTCAATATCACAACTGAGCCAAAGCACTCGGTCTGATCATTTAGAGCAATGACTAACAAAATCGTTTCAGTTGATTCTAACTATTATCGAAGTAACTTACTCGAAGTTTATTTTAAAATAAATATAATCTCTGTGATTTGTGTGAAAATTTGGACACATGCCAAAATGCAGATGGTAGACTCCTATCTCTGATCTTGGCATTTTTGTTTTCCAGTGAAATGGTTGATTTGAAAATATAAAAAAAAAGTAATTCTACAATAAATATAATCTCTGTGATTTGTGAGAAAAAATTGGACATGCCAAAAATGCAGATGGTAGATTCCTATCTCTGATCTCGGCATCTTTTTTTGTTTTCCAGTGGAATGGTTGATTTGAAAATATCATTAACAGAAGTGTCTAATCAGAGGATTACACCACATGCCATCAGCAAAATAAACTCATTGTAAGTATTAAGTGTCATAGTATATAGCGCCACCTTGTGGTTTTGTGTAGAAAGTGTCTTAGTAATAGGGCCCCCAAACAGTTTTACTTGGAAAGGTTGTGAACAGTACCTGAAAACTTGATTTTGTTCATCCTTTTTTTCCCCCAGAATTTCACAAAGTATCAAGATGTATGAAACATTCATAGGTAAGCCTTGACAAAATGCAGTGGTAATGTGGGATTTTCTGGTATTTGGGCGTGCCTTTAACCCTTTGAGGGATTTTTCATGTTAAAATTTAGATTGTAACATTTTACATATTTTTGTGTATTTTTTGAAACATTTTTGTAAATTTTAGACTAGATTGATTTAACTTTCTGTCTTGATCAAATTTTTAAAATATTATAAATAACATTATGCACATTTATTATGTGGTGTTTAAAGGGTTTAGACAGTGAGTGAATTTCGCAAATTTTGTTTTTGCACAGCTGCAAAGATTGTATAATAGCATGGTTGAAAGTTTATAAACCGTATTAACCTATCAGAACCTATTGCGATCTACATATTTCAGAATCACTGAAATCCCCTGATGGAGTAATGCCAGAGAAGTTGGAAGATGACCTTGTAAAGCCGACATTGGTTGCATACTTTTGTATGGGAAGACTGTATGTAATATTTTTTTTTCAATTTTTATTTTCATATGCCAAATTGATTTTGGTTTCTATTGATAAAATAATTTTTTTTATAAGGATACCAGAAAGTATGCATAAAGACAATGCAGAGAGAGTGTCAGTCGACGCACAGTAGAGGTCGATTTGACCATGTACTCTCTCTGACTGCCATATCCTTGTAATAACATTATTATTAAACATCTTCCCAATCCAATCTCTTGGTGTAGGATGAACTAAGCAAAATTGCGAAAATTATTTTCAAAATGCCCAACATCTTGAAAATACAGCATAGTCCTTTCATATGTGGAATTCACATTGCTTAATAATGTTGGATGTAAAATATCCTGTATTTCTTCATTTTTATAGACAGTGAATATATTTTATTTTCACAGACTTTCCAAATACATAACTATTGATCTGGACACAAAATTAGAATTTTTAGACAAAAGTATTGAGAAATACAGATTTGTAGTGAATTATCTGAACAAAAATACACAGTTCATCGGAATACTCAGAGTAAGTATGGATTGAATTTAACTCTTTATTTAAAGTATAAATATTTATTATTTTAATATCAACTTCAAATCAAAAAATTAACATCCTGGTGTTTTTGACCTCATAAATTGCACATCCTGGTATTTTTGACCTCACAAACTGCACATCCTGGTATTTTTGACCTCATAAATTGCACAGCATGGTATTTTTGATCTCACAAATTGCACATTCTGGTATTTTTGACCGCAGCAATTCCCCATCTTTGTATTTTTCATCCCTCAAATTACACATCCTGATAATTTTGACCTTACAAATTGCACATCCTGGTATTTTTAACCTCAATAATTGCACATCTTGGTATTTTTGACCTCACAAATTGCACATCCTGGTATTTTTGACCTCACAAGTTGCACATCCTGGTATTTTTGACCTCACAAATTTCACATCCTGGTATTTTTGACCTCACAAATTTCACATCCTGGTATTTTTGACTTCAGTAATTGTCCATCTTTGTATTTTTCACCTCTCACAATGTACATCCTGGTATTTTTGACCTCAATAATTGCCTATCCTGGTATTTTTTACTTTAAAAATATCCTGTTTATCAATATCATGTTTCATCATTTTAAAATAAATCTAAATCCTACATTAGTTGTATATGCAAATTTAATTTTACGTAAATGCAAATGTAATTTTTTTCCAATTTCAGACTGAATATGAAATATGTCAAGAAATGATCAGTCTAGTTCCTTTGAAAATGGAATTGATGAAAAAGCAGTCTACAATCCACCCCACATAGACAATATGTCACTTTACAAGTTATCCCTTGATACTGTACTTAGAATAGAAACTCCAACATGAAAAAATGGAGAGCCTCAATAAATAAATTTCTGCTCTGGTGGATTTAACTATTCAAATTAAAATGGCCACCAAAACGTGTATTGAAGGCCATATATTTATATTTGCATTCTGTGCATTGCTGTAGAACTGTGGTACTAGCAAAAACAGTAAACCAAATAATTCTTTCCATGTTTCTTTGATAATATATACATTTGGTACAATATAAAGTTTGTTAAAGCACAATATAAAGCACAAGATGTAAAACTCAAATCTATACTGTAAAACTGTATTTTTAGCTAGCATGTTATTTTAGCTAATTTAGCTAATCTGTAATTTCGCTAATTCAAGATGTCGCTAATTTAAAATAAAGTATATTCTCACAATGAGATTGTTGGTACTTCAGCTAAATTGAGATTCAGTTAATTTATGCATGGATTCAAATTTGCTAAAATGGCATGTAGCTATTTAAACATGTTTTACAGTAGTTCTGGGGGTAGAGGGTTGGTTACAATTGGGTTGTAGATCAGGGTTAGGGATTATCAAGAGTTAAATGTTGTCATGGTTTTAGGTTTACAATTGTTAAATAAAATGATTCAACCACTAGTATTTAAAATTACATCAACCTATGCATATGTATTCTACACAAATGTCATTTGAAATAAGTTTAAATTGTTCTCAAGTATCAAGGAATCTAATTGTCGTCTTCCTGTTTCTAGTGAACTCAAACATAATTTGTGGAAACTTAAAGCAGGGGAGTCGTCACTTGCGCACGCGTCAGATGGCCATAGCGTGTCATTGTTTACAAACAAGCGTCTACCCATGAGCCTTTGCGTTTTTAGCGTGTGCTGTTATCGTCGCTTGGGACTCGATTCACGCGTGTGCGCAGATGACGACCCTCAGCTTTAACAAATTACTAGATTCGTAATTATTATATTCATGATTGATGTTAACTTTTCACTGTATTATATGTAAAGTAAGTGTTTTTGTGTATCGTATGTTTCATCCACTAAAGTGTGTTTATGAATCAGTATCTTCGTACATGTGATAGTGTTATTTTGTCATGTGCTTACTTATGTCAGATTTGTGCAGGGTATCAGGGTTCTTTGGCTTAAAATTGTCATGTAATCCTGCTTTTTCCAATTTTAGGAGTTCAAAACGCATAACTTGCTTAAACCTT